ATGTTTCACTTCATATTTAATATTCTTATCATGACCTACTAAATACAAACATTTTATGTTTCACTTCATATTTAATATTCTTATCATGACCTACTAAATACAAACATTTTATGTTTCACTTCATATTTAATATTCTTATCATAACCTACTAAATACAAACATTCTATGTTTCACTTCATATTTAATATTCTTATCAAGACCTACTAAATACAAACATTTTATGTTTCACTTCATATTTAATATTCTTATCATGACCTACTAAATACAAACATTCTATGTTTCACTTCATATTTAATATTCTTGTCATGACCTACTAAATACAAACATTTTATGTTTCACTTCATATTTAATATTCTTATCATGACCTACTAAATACAAACATTCTATGTTTCACTTCATATTTAATATTCTTATCATGACCTACTAAATACAAACATTCTATGTTTCACTTCATATTTAATATTCTTATCATGACCTACTAAATACAAACATTCTATGTTTCACTTCATATTTAATAGTCGTTATACCACCTACTGAATCTATTTTTTTTTTACTGTTTTACTCTATACATTTAATATCTTTTACACGACCTACTATCGCGGGTTCGATTCCCCGTCCCACCGAACATGCTCGCCTTTTCAGCCATGGGAGAGTTATAATGTTACGGTCACTCCCACTATTCGTTGGTAAAAGAGTAGCCCAAGAGTTAACGGTGGGTAGTGATGACTAGCTGCCTTCCCTCTAGTCTTACACTGCTAAATTAGGGACCGCTAGCGCAGATAGCCCTCGTGTAGCTTTGCGCGAAATTCAAAACAAACAAACAAAATACGACCTACTAAATCTATTCTTTACTGTTTTACCCTGTACATTTAATATGTTTTACACGATCTACTGAATCTAGTTTTTCCTGTTTTACCCTATACATTTAATATGTTTTACACGAGTTACTAACCACTAATATTTCTGTTTCACTTCACATTTAATGCTCTTAACACGATTTACGAAATACTAGAGTTTCCTTTTTACTCGACATTTAAAATTATTTACATAGAATGTTTCAGACTTTAACTTTTTAGCTGTACTTACCACTTTGCTTTTTACATCTCGCAGCTATATAAATTAGAATTAAAAAGAAATGTTCTCTTACTGATTAACCTAAAAACTGTAATTTCAACCAATATAAATTCTCATCAACCCAACAAGTTAGATTATATAGAATGTTCCATAATTGAGGTCTAAATGTCTTTAGGTGTAGAAGGAACTTTGGTATAGATTTTGTTGTTTTTTTATATCAACCTAATATTTCAGAGTCCACAGCTTTTTAGCAAGATATGGTATGTTTTGTGTTGTTGTTTTTTCTTTTTACCTTGCTACGGTATAAAGTAACATGAATCGTATTTACTCTCTCCGGATAACAAGCCTTATATCATGGCCAGCTGGCAGCTACAATTCGGATATACTAGCCCGGCTACGTCGATAATGGACAGTATTATCTAATTGAGCTCTACATATCCTTAGGTGTGGGAAACATCACAGTGTAGATTTTGTTACGTATATATCTTTCTATCCTTTTATCTAATTGGTGATGACCATAAACGAATTAACAACATTTTCCACAGTTTCCATCTATCATTAAGGAAACGACAGCTAAGGGGGTAAACTCAGCTGTGAAATAATGTGAACAAATATATTTCGTATTGTAATTATAACATCGAAAAGCGCAGAAAAATCCTATATACAACAGGAACATTTCTAGATAGCCCAAAATACCATTTTTCTCTCTCTAGAACATCAGTAACAGAAAATATAGAAACAAATGTTTGTATGTGTTTTGTAAGTAATGACTTCTTTATCTTTAAATGTAGTTTCACTGATATTATTGTTCATCATAATGTTTAATCGAGTGTGCACAGGCTTGCCAACCAGTATTAGAGAAGGAATATTTACTATAATTCTTAATGAACTACATACACCTACAGAAAATGTGGCAAATTTTTGGTAACATGTACAAATATGTTTTACACAAAACATCAGATGTGTTACAAAAGCATTTGTATTAAAAGTATGTCTGTAAATTAATGACGTCAGTCTGTCTGAGAATCTGATACGTCAGTGAGCAGGGTGGTGTTCATGAGAAGAATAAATATACTTTTGTCCATCGTACAGTTTGCAGAATCTCTAGAACCTCGTAAATACATATCTACAGTTTTCTTGATATCCCTGTATATTATATGTGTCACTAAATCAGCAGTTTAGGGTAAAACGAATAGTTGATAACGTTGACGTTATATATATATATCATACCATGTTGAATGGCACTCTCTAAAAGGTTGTGGCTTGCGTTAGTTTTTACACTTATAATGACTATTTTACATTGTTAGTTTAGTATATAGATTTAGGATTAACCTAAATCTCTTAATCTAGCAAATCTTGTGGGATATTATTGAGTTTACGGCTGAAAGGATCGTTAATAGCGATTGTACTCACCTGGTGATTTAATGCATTATAATCAATATAGATCTCAGTTTTCTTATGTATTGATTTATGACGTGAATTTCGTTTCAGCTTGCTATACATATAGAACCGGTTTTACTAACGTATAAAATACTTACTAGTTCAGAATTGAAAATTTCAACCTAAGCCCTTAAGTGCATGAAGGCTAACCAGTATGATCAGATACTTCTAAGATTCAGGTATAGTTGGCCCTAATTTTCAGTCACTGAGCAGACGGAAAGCATCCAGCCAGCACCACTCGCCGACACAAAGGGCCCACAGCTGAAAGTGTAGAGCAGCATCACGTCTCGAATCCCAGACCCTCTGATCCACAGAACGACATGTTAAACACTAGGCTACCCTGTACCTTTTTTTTTAGTTCTGATCCACAGACGTAGGCTACTTTGTTTAAATTATATTTCAAATTTGTTTTTTACTTGATATGCGGAAAGAAATACAGTTTATGAACAAGATGAGAATAATTTATCGCCTATAGAACCTTCATATTCTCAGTTTATGTTTTTATCAAACCTAACACATTTTCAGAGGAGTAATACAGAAAGTACATACGTCGTGTGGAGAACGTTAAATGTTATTTGTCACAAAGAAATAACGTTAGATAAGTCATTTTTCTTGTAGTTTGTGTATTGTTCGTAATCCTTTGTCTCTGGAACAATTTTACATTGAACACATTAATTTGCTTCTGTATAGAATACTGGAGGTATTTAACGTAATTCTTTCTCTACTAATTGACCTGACTTCACACGTTTAGAGATGAGCAGAATTACTGGTACCAAATAATTTAATTGGTACTCAGTAAACGCAGGCCATTATTGGCTGCATCGACGTGTCTAGTGTTTTATTTAAGTTTTACAGCAATATTTTACAGAGACGCACGCACACTTTATTTACAAGATGACAAATACTACTATATGAGTAAGTATTACGATTTCATTAAGATATTTTGAATGTACACCAAATAAAATGATGAAAACAACTAAAAGATCACTTTAGATTTTTTCAAACGCAGTTTTAACACTTTATGTCCATTTTAACATTTCATTGTGTATTGTTTTATAACACAAACAGTGAATCACACGTTAAAGTATCCGTCAGCTTCAATCTAAACAGAAACGGCGACAGTCTTATGACGTTTTGAAGTATTCGTGAGCTTTAATTTAAACCGAAACGTTGACAACCATATAACATTTTTAACACTTCGTCAGCTTCGATTTAGAAGTCTAAAAACAGTGAATTCACCAAAAAAAAAAGACAATAAAATAAAACGAATTATGACTCAAGCATATTGCTGGAATAGATTATTTTTCTTAGCCATTGTGAGAATTTATCATTCTCTCCCGAGAAAAGTAAAGAACATTTGAGTTTTCCAAAATAGTTATCATAACTATAGAGCAGTATAGATTTTTACTAACGTAATAAGGAGCACAAGTTGATTGATTTTGAAAAAGGTAAAAAACAAAATATTATGGTTCGGCTATTGGGAAATAAGAAACTGGTAAAAAAGACAAAACATTTTAGTGTTAAAGTGATAAACTGAGTTAAATAAAACTAACAGAAAGTATTTGAAATAGACGATGAGCTGACATTAAAAGGTGAATTTATATTTAAAAAAATTAAACTATTAACGTAAAATCAAAACCATTAGTTTTTTTTTTACAGACTGTAATTTGAATACAATGCCCTGAATGTATTCTTATGGAAAATAACCCATATAATGAGATAAATACTATTCTAGAAACTTTTTTATTTCTTCTATTGCTTACGGCGAAGTTACTGCTATGTTGTCGAATACCCGGATTAATTAACTTACATAGGTTGTTTGCAGAACACAGTAACGCATTGCAAACAACCTATGTAAGTTAATTTTGTGATGATACTTAACTGAAAAAACAACAACTTTTTTTTTTTACTCGCTACTGAAATTAATCCTCTCAGAGCGAATGAAACAAAGAACTTGCATCATATGTTATACAGTATGTATAATACCTAATTAAATCATTCATGATTGGATCATTCTCATGTTTGATTTTTTTTTTCTGTTTTCATAAAAAAGTGAAACTCCTTACATTTGTATATAATCCCAGTTTTCTCACAAATTCAAGATAACATACGCATAGTAGTCATATGCTTTGTTTGAAAAGCTCTTCAATATGTCCAAAAATGATTTTCCATGAAACATTATTCTAAGTACCAAACACGTTTTTTCACATATTTAGGAACTAACGATATTAACGTCTTTATTTTATTTAGTAAAACGTTGAATTCTGTATGTCTCCGCAGAGAGATAAACTGTTTTTTAATTGTTTCTTCTTCCAAACACTTTTCAACCGATCGTCATTCCTTCATTATTCAGCGAATTCACTTGAAACTTGGTAGAGTTAAACCTTAGTCCAATACGCCCAGACATATTTCATATGTTTTTCATATTTTATATTAGGTTTTTTAACGATATAACGGGGTAAACAGTCAAACAACCCCAAAATGTATATTTTGGGCTCCTGTGCGGTCATATTTACAGCAATCAAGATAAAAATTGGTACAAATATAAATTTTCATGCGCCCAAAAAGTTGTATTTGCCTAATTTGAGTATTTTTAGGGAGGCCAGAACTCGCAAAAAAAGCACGATTTGGGGGGGGGTCAATTATTCGGCCATTCTTTGACCAATCTACGTGGGAGTTGGTTCAAAAATACTTTCTTATATGTATGTCCCATAAATTGTCAAAAAATGGTGGACTTGCCCATTTTTAGTAATTTAATAGGAAGGTCAAGATGCCACAAAAAGCATAATTTTAGGGGTTTTTTTGACAATTATTCCTCCATATGTCGGCCAATTTACATGGAATTTGACACAAAGGTTCTTTTTTACAGGTTCCATACATATACGTACAACAATATTGGATATGCTCATTTTTGTAATTGTAGGGGGGTCAGAAGCTTAATGTTAGAACGCCAGCGTGAGGTCATTATGACCCCATACAAGTTAAAACTAAACTAACCACGCTGGCGTTCTAGAGTTAAATAATCCCATAATTTTTGGGGGGTTTGTTCAATTACTGAGCCATATTTACGTAGTATTTAGTACAAAGATACTCTTTGCAGGTCCCAAACAGAGGTATAGACGATTTTGGAATTTTTGTCGTTTGCTCAGTTTTTCAGCGAGGAAAGTACAATTAGGGATTTTCATGAACTATTCGTGTGTGTGTGTGTCTGCCAGCTTACATGGGATTTGATACAAAGATACCTTCATGCCAGTCTAAAGCAGCGATATAGACAGTTTTCGATTTTATTCTGTTTTTCATCATTTTTCTGGTGTCAAAATTAGCCATGTTGGGATTGCGCGAAGAAGACATATTGCCTTCGCCCTCTTTAATTCGTAAGCGTTTTTATTTTAAACATAACTTTTATCATTTAAGATTTTTTTTAATTTCTAAAAGTGAGCACATAATGAGTAATATACCTTTAAACTGGAAAATGATTCTAAAAACTAGACTTTATTGGATCAAACAAAACATCTAGTCCGAATACGGATAAACTTAGTTTAATGATTAATATTACGCTTGTGAAGTGTTAGGATTTGTTCTGCATAAGGAAAAAGATATTACTACCATATATTTACTGAAAGATTACGAGTGCATCCCTTTTCACATCGATGTTTTATTGATTCGATGAATGTGTATCCGAAATTATAAACGTTTATTTACATGTGAAAAATTCTTTGAAAATGTTTCAGATAGTAAACTTTGGGATAATCGATTTTTCCTTTTGTAGAACATAGTAAACGACCAAGAGCACCCGTATTTACTCTTAAGTTATACATGCATCATAATTCAATGGGAAATCAATCAGGTGCTAGGTGCTGACAGATAATTAACGCAAAAACAGAGAGAGTCATTATAAGAAAATATAATCAAAAATATATTAATATTGCCCGAAAGACGCTACTTTAATTAGAATTTCATGAGAAATAATTTTAATAAAATCTCGACTCTCCTTGTTATGAAGATACAAACATTAACAATGTCATTTTAAGATGCCTATATCTCAAGGTTCAAGAACAGTTAATTAAATGTATTTCCGTAAATTAGCATAATTACGTAACCTATTGAAGTGTTCTTATTGGTTTCCACTATGTTTGGTATGGTGTGGAATAGTTATTAGTGTGCTTGATTTGGTTTGCGTCCCTTGCCTCTTCTCTTCCCCTCCTCCAGAAAAATTGCTCTTTACCATTTGGACTCATGAGTGCGTTATAAAAGTGATGGCCAAATCCTACAATTCAATTACTGTAGCTCAAGAGTTGACCGTTGGTGTTGTTGGTCAGCAGCCTTCTCTCTTAATCTATTACTTCAAATGCAAGGATAGCCTACTATGAAGTTAGGTGTAAGAAGCATCGGCTGAAGTTGAGAAAAGTGAGAAAGTGGCTAGCCATTGGACAATCTCTAAGGAATTTGGAGATTACTGTATTCTAACTCATTAGAAAATGATTGAAGTGAACGATTATAGCTACCGCCTTTTTAAGTTCAGCCACTCTGGAGACTACAAGGCTTCCTATG